TCTTGCTTCATATAACATATTGTTGTTCAATAAAACTGTCTTCAATTTCTCGCCTTTGACTGTACAGGCAAAGATACAGTTGATGAAAGGTTCTCAATATGAAAAGTTCAGTTTTGTGTTGGGCTAGAGTGATTCATTTTATCATGATGCCTAAAGCAAAGCCATCTAAATCCTAGCGTTTAAGTAAGATTATAGTTGAGTTTTGAGATGATATATTTTCAAATGATGCTAACATTTTACACTGTATGATATAAGACACAAAAGTAGTGGCAGAAAAAAGATTCATGGTACAACACATCAGCAGTGACAAGCTCATAGAATCAGTGCATATTTTGAACAAAAAGAAATCTGTGGAAATGTTACTGCAACAGTATTCATCTGCAGGTGGAAATAAGTCATCAGATTTTTTTTCTCTCAGAGATCTATGTGATGCTCTGGTATCCACAAATATTCTGTTTTGGGCTCTCAACAATGAAAAACTAAAAATTTTCTGAACTGAATTGTGGCCGTTCCATCCTGGATGAATACACCCTCAGGAAAAACTATGTTTTCAAGTGCTACAACTATATCCTCAAAAATCATTAGGAATAAGGAGAAAGGGACGATTTTCGTTTTCATTGATGAGACCTGTGATATGGAGTCTCGCTATGTAGCAATGTCATCAACGGAACCTTGGAAATTGATGGACCAGGTGAAGTGTTTCTGCTTACAAGTGAGGTGCTAGAATACATTGATCATCCCACAATTTGTGAACTCTTCAACAGGTCGATTTTTCTACTGTGGCCAGAGGGTATACAACATGATGTCTTGCTTTTTGTGACCGATGGGGCCCATATATTTAAAAAACAGGCAAGTAAATAAAGTCGTTTTATATGAAACTGGCTCATGTTACTTGCCCAGCTCATGCACTGCATAGTGTGACGGAGGAAGTGAGATCAAAATTTCCTCACGTGGATGCTCTTGTGTCGAGGACGAAGAAAATTTTTGTCACGACTCCAGCTCATAAAAGGCAGTTCAAGTCTTTGGCTCTTGGTGTTCCACTGCCCCCGGAACCCATCATCACAAGGCAGGGAGCATGGATTGATGCTATAATTTACTACTGCTATCATTTTCAGGCAGTGAAAAATACTGTAGATTCAATGAAGACAGAAGATGTGAGGGCAACTGAAGCTGCTCAGGAACAGTTCTCGTGCAATGAAGTGGAAGGACAGCTGACCTTCATAATGTCAAATTTCAGTTCCTTGAGAGGAGGAGCAATGCCAGATTTTCTCGCTCTGGTGAAAAAAATAGCCAATGATTTCGAGGAAGTGTCAGGGGTTATTGGTAAAATGGTGTCATAAAAAATGAAAAGTGTTCTAGATAAAAACTCAGGTTATGAAACATTATGCAGCATTTCTCAAATTCTGACAGGAGAGTCCTTCAGCACTTTCAATATTGAAGAACTTGCTGCTAGTGATTTGGTGCACTTCAAGTACACTCCCACTGTGTCTGCAGATGTGGAAAGGATTTTCTCCAAGTACAAGAATGTGCTGCTGGACAACAGGCACTCACTAACCTTCGAGGATCTCCACATGTTGACTGTCATCTATCACAATTCTGAATGAGTTGAGACTTAAATATTGGAATATATATCATATATGTATATGACAGAAAAAAATGCATTAAAAACATTTAGCTTCGAATTCAATCATATATTTCTTAATTTTCAACATAAAAATGATGAACTTAAAAAAGAGCAATGATGAGCTCACAACATTAATAAAGATTAAAAATACATTATAAAATAATTAGATTCTCCATGACATGTTACATTTTAGGTCATATTTTTTAAACTTTTAGGCAATTCTTCTGACATTTTAAAAATATTTTTAGATGATCAAAATCCTGGCCCTGGTAATTACTGAATGTTTGGCACTTAGTGGCCCACTGTCTAGTAATCAAACTCCTTGATGAACTTTACCCTAGCAAATGGACTGCTCATGGCCACCCAATTACCAGCAGTCACCTGACATAAACAGTGATTACATTGTTTAGTGACGATGTACTTCTTATGAAGAGAGAGTATAGGAATGCAGAAGGTTCTGATTGCATAAGCAATACAGAAAGTGGGCTGAAGCATTCATAGCATTTGGCTGTTCGGCTTATTAATAGGACACCTGGCATCTTGGATATGGCACAAACACAAGACTTGTAAGGAGCGGGAAGGGTAGGAATTAGGTTGAGGGAGCAGGTTAATCTTAATGTGTTCTGTCATTTGGTACAAATTTCACAATTCCTGCCTTGAATAAGACCAGGGTAGTGTTTTAATTTTTTTAAGATACTAAGTACATTTAAATTTTCCCCTCCATAATCATCAGGTAAAAACATAATACATTTCCTACTACTCCAGGAATCATGTTCTCCTTTCAACACAGTGAATACAATAGAGAAGTAAAATTGACCTAACAGAAGTGCTTTAACAAATTCCTTAAAACTTCAGCAAGACCCAGTGGAAAATGGCAAAAACATAACAGCATCTTTGTGACTGCAATGTGCAGGACAGATATTTTTCTTTTCAGAATGAACAGATAAATTTCTGTACATAACACATTCAGTGTAGTAATACAGACAGAAATTTGCTAATAAAACATTCTTTTGTGTTAAAAAACACTGCAGTTTTTAACAGTGCAAAGCCACAGTTCTTTTATCAGTGTCATCTGTGAAAGACATTCTTCAATGAGAAACTGGTTTGTTTAAATTCTCTTTTGTAACACAAAAAGCTTCATTAAATGTATATCTTCCTAAGACCATGGAAATAACATAATGGTATTTTACTGTATATTGTTATAATGTTTATAGTGTTATAATATTGTATTTAAGCATCCTGTTGCATTAATATATTCTTCACAAACTATACTATTTCCTCTGGGATGTGGCACCATGTAGATCTACACGGTGCCACATCCCAGAAGACTGCTATCTTCATAGTCACCACTGTGAAAACCTCAAATCTTATATACCATTTCCATCCATAATGCAATTTATTTATCATTTATTTCTTCCTCCTCTTCACTTTCACAACATGTTTCGGGCGTACATGGCCATCATCAGGTGTTCTTTTGCCAAAAACTGTTTCACTGTGTGGTATATCTCACTTCTTCTATCACATATGAATGCAACATGTCATATTTAAAATAATGGACTTTATTAAAATCAATAAAAAGCAATAAAGTTTAGTTAGAATTTTTCAATATTTTGCTTGGGGCTGTCATCTTTTTATCCAAACACCACTGTGTAGATTTTCTTACTTTTGATTACTTGCTCAGTGGCGCAGGTGTTTGTAGCTCTCAAATATCGATGCTTGTGTGGTGGTGGTGGTGATGGTCTGTGTATGGGCAGGGGGGGGAGCCTACAGGCAGCGGGCATATATGATAACTGCATCAATATTTGAGGGCTACATGCACACAACCACCCATGCCACTGCGAAAGTAAACCAAACTAAGAAAATCTATATAAAGGCATTTGGACAAAAAGACATCAGCCCCCCAAGCAAAATACTGAAAAATTTTAACTAAATTTCAACTAGACTTTATTGCTTTTATTGATTTTAATAGAGTCTATTATTTTAAATTAGGACATGTGGCATTCATATGTGATAGAAGAAGAGAGAGATACCACACAGTGAAAGAGTTTTTGGCCAAAGAACACCTGATGATAGCCGTATATGGCTGAAAATTTAAGAGGGAAAAAATGCTGCATTGTGGACGAAAATAGTACTTTTTTTGTGAAAAATAAATATCATTATGACTTCAACACGGTCAAGACTATAAAACAAGCCAGTAAGAAAGTGTATAGCAATATTACAAGCTACAATAGCAGGTACCTTGACTTATGTGGAACTGCAAGAACTGTTTCAAGCACCCACAACTGAGACATGTAACTGCACAGACTTTGAAAAAAAAATATAACAAATATACTCCTTAATGAGCATACGGTGATTGAGAATTACAGACTTTCACATCCCAACATGGGAACACTCCAAATGCAGGCTTCTTTCCCAACAGATATACATGAAAAACTTTTTGCAGACTATGAACACATACTGCTCAGACTTTTTAGCAGTAACAGACCGCAAAGCATATTTTGAAACTAATCATAAAAAGTATAACTACCACACAAATGAAAACAGAACAGATGTTCCTGCCAACTTCAGCCACAGATGAATGCATGAGAGGAAACAAATTTTTCACTTGTTTTCCAAAACGATTCTAGAATGAGTATCAGCAGACAAGAAATGTTTCTCACTTTTTCTTACTGACCTACATTCCATTCTTCCCATATTCATACTGTTTCCTTCTATGTAAAAATAAAGAAATAAAGCCTAAAAACCTAAAGTTTAATCTCTAGCATGAGATTATCTTTGCCTGGCATGACAGGCACTGTTTGCAACAAAAATTAGAACTAAAAAACTTCTCTGGCTTCAAAAACTTTTATCTATACTGGTAGTTGACATATGATCAATAGTTACCATGACAGCTTCTGTCAGCTTATTTATGTGGAATGAAGGCATCAAAAAGAAGACACTGTAATGGGGATGCAGAACACATCTCACAATTGCAGATGAAAAATATCAGTGTGGAGTACACTATGTACCTCCAGTGCCGACATGTTAATTTCAAGTAGAACACAACAATCCAATTACAAATAAAAGAATTTGCAGTCTGCCTGCAATCATAAACAAGAGGTTTCAAGGCATACACAAACACTGTCATCTATGAAATTATAGTGTGAACTGGACACACAAAAAAAAAAAAAACCTACTTGCTAGGAGGTACAAGAAATTATCCTGAGGTTGGGGTGTATGATTTTCAGCAATAGAACCAGAACCTGTGGGTGAGTTTGTGTTGGTTCCGCATTTTTGTGGGTTTATTCTCATACATTTCAAGCACTGTGCGCGGCCATCGGCTTCCTGGTTTTTAACCAAGTAACGGTTATTTGCACTTCAGTCATTTTTTCATTTGTTTCCATTTTGATTTGCTAATAGATTAGCTTTCATTGCCTGGAAACTCTTCCATCTTCAGTTTGCACCTCAGCCTTTAACTTGTAATCTTATTTATAATCCATCCCTACATCTAGCAAAAGACAGCAAGGGGTAGCACAAATCTAATACCAAGAAATAAATATTCTTATTTCACATAATATTTTCTATAAAATGTGGACTATTTCTGGTAACAATTCTTTATTCAGCATCCCATCTAATTCAACTGGCATACTACTACACCGGGATTCCATCACTTTGATGTGCCATGGATATGTTCAAATATGTTAAGCACAAGTTATATTCCATATCTGTCAAATACAGAATAACAGCTCTCCACTTTAGGCATGACCTCAATACATATTTATACCTACATTAATCTTCACATTCTGTGGTGACTGTTTCTGGACAAACACATTGTCAGTAACAGGAAAACCAGGTACATCAAAGAAAGGCATTTTACATTGTTGGTTACATTTTTGAAATCCTAGTTATGTTCTGCTTACCGTAGCTTATTCAAAAAACACAGTTTAAACATTTTATTCATAATATATTTTAAAATTAAGTTATTAATAATTATTATTCAAGTGATTCACAAAACAAACAGGACCAAACACATACATTACTCCCTCAATTTTTATGAGACTGGCAAATATATACAACACAGTGTACTCACAATGAAATACATACATCCATACTTCTGTAATTTCAACACTGACAGACCTGCAGGCATATATAATTAACCTATGTGGGTTCTGATTGCATTATGTATAAATAAAGCAGGAACATTACAAATGAGCTCCTTTGAGTTTCAAGACAGTCTTAGTGCAGTGTTACTCATTCAGGAACCATGGGATGTTGCTGCTGCTGTTACTACTGCCATTCATAGTAGCACTACTACAGTCATTTTCATGTACCTCATCCACACATACATCCTCCAACAACTCTCCCCCGAACACTATGCTGCTTCCCTCATCCAACGTCTGGGTCACACTTGATCCACGGCTAAGAGGGACCAATTTTGAACTGAAGTTAATTCCATCTGAAATTGAATACTCCCCTGTTGTGTTCCCAGAGGTGAAAGAGATTTCACCTGCTGCAGATAATGGTGTGTGGCCAGAAAAATTAGCTGCATTTGGGTTTGCATCATTTGCCAGTAAGAACTGCACCAAGTCACAGTTGTTAGCTTCCACTGCATGGAACAAAGGAGTTCGCCCACTCTTGGCATCCTTTAACAAAATAATAATCTAATTAAGAATTTCATTAAACAGTTGAATGGCAACAACAGAACAGAACATTGCTTATTTCCAAAGCAGCCAACTCTTGAACAACAGTCAATGACATTCATATATATTTCAAATGCAAAAGGTGAACAAACATACAAATACAATTAAATAACAAACAAACAGTATCTTGCCAATACCAGTCAGCTAGGAACCTGTTACAAGCTGGACTGGACTTCTTTAAAAGTTCATGTTGCATTTTTCATATACTAACAGCATAACACAATTTTTTATTTATGAAATACGCACATCCAAATCCAAAATGAGATATTTTTCTTTACTTCAGCACATGAATAACTATTTTATTTTTTCAAATTAGTGTACAGAGAAAGGAAAGGTTGAAACTTCTCCAACTTTTTCTCCCTCCACATGCTATAAATGACTTCTCATGTAATGGCTTACTTATAGACACACCACATAGTAGGTATTCACTCCTTCCTTTAACAAGATGATGTAAACGGAAAAACCTCTGATGTCATATATACGTAGGTAAGTCAATAAGTAAGTTACAAATAGATACAGAATTTAAACAAATAACAGTATTGATTTGAAAAATTCTTTTATTTCTCAACATAATCTCCCTGTACACTGAGACACTTGTCCCATAGTTTCACAAGCCCCTGAAAACCAGCAGCATAGAATTCTTTGGGCTGCTGTTGGAACCAGACAAGTTCACATGGCATGGCCTACCTCATAATGCATGAGAGGTTCCATGCTTCCGTTGAATGGCCTTACGAAGATTTCTGAGGATGTTACAGTAGGAGTCGGCATTTACAGTTTGTATTTGGTTTGTATTTGAGGCTGGAATGCAATGAGTAGTATGCCTTCGTGATCCCAGAAGACTGTGAGCATCACTTTCCTGGAGGATGGTGTCACCTTAAACTTTTTCTTGGCAGGCAACACACGATGTTTCCACAGAGCTGACTCATGCTTTGTCTCTGGCTGGTATTGGTAAACCCAAGACTCATCACCTGTGACAATTCAGGCTAGCATATCGTGTCCTTCATCGTGGTAGCAATTGAAATGCTGTAATGCCAGACCCATTCTTTGCATTTTGTGTTGTGGGGTCAGCATGCATGGCACCCATCGTGCACAGACTTTGTGAAAATCTAACCTGTCATGCATTATGAGGTAGGCCATGCAATGTGAACACACCTGGTTCCAACAGCAGCCCAAAGAATTTTATGCTGCTGGTTTTCATGGGCTTGTGAAACGATGGGACAAGTGCCTCAATGTAGAGGGAGATTATGTTGAGAAATATAAACAATTCAAATCAGTACTCTTATTTAAGTTCTACACAGTGTGTTCAGGTTCTGTTAGGACTGTGTTCATTAAAAATACAAGACATACAAGGTCCGTATAAAAGGTATCGGGAAAAGTTCCGGGAAAATAGATTTATTTCAGATATTGCTACAGTGTCTCAAAATTCTTCAAAATACATCCCTTGTGCATCGATACACTTTTGCCAACGGCGTTGCCACGACACGAAGGCTCCCTGGTAGGCGGATTCCGGAAGGTCCTTAAGGGTCCGCGTGCAAGCCTCTTTGACGGCACTCAGGGTCCCATGATGGTGCCCTTTGAGGGAGGATTTCACTTTCGGGAACAGGAAAAAGTCTGCTGGTGCCAAGTCGGGACTGTAGGGGGGTTGGGGTACCGTCGCGATGCCGTTTTTTGTCAGGTAGTCGGTCACCTTGGAGCAGGTGTGACTGGGTGCATTGTCGTGATGCAATTTCCAATTTCCGGCGATGGCTGGCCTCACCCGATTGACCCTTCTCTTCATTCTTCTTAGCACTTCCAGGTAAAAAGCTCCATTCACTGTTTGCCCCTCAGGTACAAATTCGTAGTGGACCACCCCCTGGGCGTCGAAGAAAACAATGAGCATGGTTTTCATTCTGGATTTGCTCCTTCGCGCTTTTTGGACGAGGAGATGCCGAAGTGTGCCATTCGGAACTTTGACGCTTTGTTTCTGGGTCGTACTCGAATATCCAACTTTCGCCTTCCGTGATGATGATGTCCAGAAAGCCGGGGTCTTCCTCAATGCGTTGCAGAAGATCTTCGCAAGCAGCCACTCGTCTCTGCTTTTGGTCGTCCATCAAGACCTTCGGGACGAGTTTCGCGCAGACCTTTCGCATCGCCAAATCTTCAGTGATAATGGTGTGCACCGTCATCTTATCAATGCCAACACGATCTGCAATCATGCGCACACTTAACTGACGGTCTGAATTGAGTACATCAAGCACACGTTGCACGTTGTCGTCGGTTCTTGACGTCGACGGCCGTCCACCGCGGGGCTCATCCTCCACACTCTGTCAGCCACTTTTGAAGAGCTTGTGCCACTTAAAAACTGCAGTTTGTGACATGCTTTCATCCTTGAACACTTGGCGAATCATGCCCAACGTCTCCGTACCCGATTTCCCCAGTCCAACACAAAACTTAATGGCGTACCTCTGTTCAATCGTTCGCTGCATTCTACGCTTGCACCGACTCACTCTACAGGGGTCCACTGAAAACACGGCCTGGCCTCTACGAACGCACTCAGGCGAATGGCGCTTGGCGCGTGTTAAAGGTTAGACCCCCACTACCATGCCTGCGCGGTGCAAGCGTGCTGCGGTGTACAGTCACGTAAGGGAAAGATTTTTCCCGATACTTTTTATACGGACCTTGTATATTACTATTTTCAAAATTTCACTCTTTTTATTCAAAATAGTCTCCTTGTGAATCAATACATAGCTGGAATCGATTAAAAAGTTTTCAAAAACAGTCACTGTACTCCTTTTGTGGAATCGCATTTAAAACTGCGGTACATTCCCTTGGGATGTCCTGGATGGTGTCGTGATGGTCTCCTTTCATCACCAACCTAACGTTTTGGAACAATAAGAAATCTGCTGGAGCCAAATCTGGCGAATATGAAGGATGATCAAGGACTGTGATCCATTTTCTTACCAAAAAATCGCGCACGATCTTCGATTTATGGGGTGGGGAATTGTCGTGGAGGAGCGACCACGAGCCTTGCTCTTGATATTCACATCAAATTCGAAGAATTCTCGCATACAAACGATTGAGGACTCTGAGATAATCAGAATTCACTATCTGACCTGACAGAAATTCCTTGTGAATGATTCCTTTGGAATCGAAGAAGACGTTTAGCAGTGTCTTTACTGGACTTTACTGCACATTCTTTGGTTTTGGCTTCTTTGGGCTTAACCACACTGCACTCTGCCGCTTTGTGAGAGGCTCATATTGAAAACACCATGTCTTGTCACCAGTAACAATAGATTTTGTAAATTTTGTATTACTTTGGGTCGACCATAACATGTCTTTTCAGTGTTCCGGTCAACTCTGGCATGTTTTTCATTGCCTGACAGCGCATGTGGTACAAACCATGCACAAACCTTCCATTTGCCCAAATCCTTGGTCAAAATTTGATGCACAGTACTTTTTGGTATTCCCAGAAGCTCCTCGATGAGTCTTGCAGAAACACATCTGTCTGATACAAGAATTTCGGTCACTTTTTTCACATTTTCTTCAGTGCAACTTGTTCTTGGCTTTGATGCACATGGAGCGTCTTCAATGTGCTCCCTGCCATCACAAAATACAGCATACCATCGAAAAATTTTTGNTTTTGTATTACTTTGGGTCGACCATAACATGTCTTTTCAGTGTTCCGGTCAACTCTGGCATGTTTTTCATTGCCTGACAGCGCATGTGGTACAAACCATGCACAAACCTTCCATTTGCCCAAATCCTTGGTCAAAATTTGATGCACAGTACTTTTTGGTATTCCCAGAAGCTCCTCGATGAGTCTTGCAGAAACACATCTGTCTGATACAAGAATTTCGGTCACTTTTTTCACATTTTCTTCAGTGCAACTTGTTCTTGGCTTTGATGCACATGGAGCGTCTTCAATGTGCTCCCTGCCATCACAAAATACAGCATACCATCGAAAAATTTTTGAGCGACTCAAACAATCACTACCATATACACTTTCCATCATCTCATATGCTTCTCCAGCTGTTTTGCCTAACTTCAAACAAAATCTGATGTTGGCTCTCTGTTCAACCGCCATTTTTCAACGAGCGTCAGAACAGTACTATTACATTCAAGGTCAGAACATATGATGCAGCGATGTTTACACTTCTAAATTATAGACAGCCACAGCTGAAACTTCAAGAATCTTAACACCACAACTTACCAACAGATGACATTGCAGGGCAAAATAAAAAAAAAAAATTAGTCCTAACAGATCCTGGACACACCATGTATATCCATTTGTAGCTTACTTATTGACTTACTCTCGTATATATATGTATATGCCGGTCACGGTAGCCGAGCAGTCTAAGGTGTGCACTGTCTTCGATTGCTCGGAAGCTGGGATCGTGGGTTCGAATCCCACTCAGGGCATGGATGTTTGTGTGCATTTTTCTGTGTTTGTCTACAGGTAGAGGCCTTGCGACAAGCTGATCACTCATCCAAGGAGTCCTACTGAATGTGTAAGATCTAGTAAACTGAAGTGAAACAGAGAGTTTCATGGAGGTAGGCCTTGGCCCAAATTGGGGCTGTAGCGCCACAGAGAAAAAAAAAATATATATATAGATAAGGTGTAAATAAATACATGTTACAATGCTCTGTGGTAGATAGGTGGGTTTATTCTGACCATACTTTGTTTATAAACCCATGCCCGAAAACACTTCCTTTTTGCACTAAGTCACAAAAGTTTCCAAGATGATACACAAGTTTTTGGGGATGTTATCATTGTTTTACATTATAAAAATTGCTCAAAATGGCGGCTGTCAACTTCACTGCATGTTCTGTACCACCTGGCTCTGTTATGCTGAACTCTTTGAAAGATGCACAGCATTTCCTGGAATGGTTAAAGCTGCTACTGCAATTCTTGCTACAAGATCATGTTGTATGTCCACTGGAGTCTCATATACCAGGCTTGCCATGTACCCCAGAGAAAGAAATCCAGTGAAGTCACGCCAGGGGAGTGAAGGGGCCAAGTTTTTGGGCCTCCATGTCCAATCCATCTGTTGCCAAAAGTTTCATCCAGATACTCACGGACGACATATCCAGTGAAGTCACGCCAGGGGAGTGAAGGGGCCAAGTTTTTGGGCCTCCATGTCCAATCCATCTGTTGCCAAAAGTTTCATCCAGATACTCACGGACGACATATCCAGTGAAGTCACGCCAGGGGAGTGAAGGGGCCAAGTTTTTGGGCCTCCATGTCCAATCCATCTGTTGCCAAAAGTTTCATCCAGATACTCACGGATGACATTAGTGTAATGTGCCGGGGTGCCATAATGCTGGAACCATACTTCACGATGGGCTTCCAAAGGCACCACTTCCAGCAGCTCAGGTAAGGTCTCTCAGAGAAACGTTAGGTAAATGTCACCAGTTTCCAGACATGGGTGTATTAACAAAATATGATCAGGTTGAACCCACCTATCTATCACAGAGCTTTGTAACATATTTATTTGCACCTTGTATACACAGATATATGAAACCACATATTGGTCTATGTCCACTAAAATATTCTTGAAGACAAGATACTCTGAATGCAAGATAATGAAAATGAAACTCCCTATTGCTGTTTCAAGAACTCAACTGGGTCATTTTAAAAATGAAAACTGGAAAGTGGGGGAGGGCTCTACAAGATGTTCTGTAAAATGATAGCCAAGAGGAGCATGCTAATTTAATACTTCTGAGACAAAACTTCCATACCATCATGTCTGTTTCTCAACCATTACAAAGCTATACATATCTCAATGCTCATACACGGTTATCCCCAAAAAGCAGGTAAATGAAATGAAATCAGAATTCATATCCATTGGTGACTTAATAATTAAGAGTGGGAAACAGTGCAACTATGAGGCTTCCTTCCAGCTGCAACTATCAGGCTTGCTAAAATAAAATCTATTCAGGTACTTACTGGACGAACATGCAGAGACCATTAAATACTTCACCTGGGCATTAAGGCAGTCACCTTACTAATACACTGCCCATGGCATTCCCCCAATTGCTGAAGCCACAGCCTGATGGTTCTGTCCAACCCAAATCAACAACTCTTGGTGTACACCATCCAGACATTACCATCAAAACACAATCCCCTGAAATTTTCATACTGTCATATGTGCAATACTCATCTCCATGTGGACTGTACTGTCCAGGACACAGTGAACTCCATACACTGGCAGGTGATAGGGTCATTCAACTGTACTGCATGGACCTGCTGCCATGCTACTTTCATACCTTTGGACACTAAACAGTAGCTGATAAGGTCAGATTAAGACAGTGAGGATGAAGTGGTAGTTTCCAGCAACAGCCCAAAAGTTCTTTGTGCAGGGATCCATCATTTACTGCATCAGTAAGTCCTGTTTCAACATCCACTGGCACCAATTTTAACAGCCTCTACTCCTTTACTGGCAACAATCCCATAGTTATGAATACAGTCGGGACCTGAGGTCATATTGCAGCAGTTATTTAATGCTGAACGAAGCTTCTTCACATGGAACTATGCACTACATAGCTCTGAGAGCTGAGAGGCAATGTTTCTGTGTTGTCTTTCAAAAGTTTAAAGGCAGGAATGTAATTGTTGGAACTAAAAATGGGTAAAATTGGCACCAAGTGTGTTGGTGATGACTACCTGGGAAGTGACAGTGTCACCAACAACAATGCGAGTTATAGGAATGCCCTTGAACTTATGTGATGTGCTGTAATTTCTTCCAGATAACGTCCGAATGGGTCAACAAAGAAAACCTGTTCATAATTACTTATATAAGTATAAGGATTTGTTATAGCACTTTCCCAAAGAATGATCTGATCTACTGCAAGTCTCATGACTGATTGCACCAACCATCTATGTTAGGCAGGGCAGGGAAGAGACAGGCATTTACTAGAGGAGTACAGTATTTTGAGGTGTCAGGACTTTGCACAAACTCTTCTAGGTGAGAAAAATGAAATATTTATAACTTTGTAAGAGTTGAGAATCTGACACACAAATATGATACATAATTCATTTTCCAAAATTATGTGACTTAAAACTCTGTAGCTTTATTTATCATTTTGTGACGCACTCTGTGTATTGCTTTACATATGCTGCTTTTGACCATTCATTTTGGCTCTGATATAAGTTTTAAAACAGAAACATGAGGAATATTATTTAACCCGTTGCCGTGGTTCGTCGTGTATGTTTCGTCAGGGATTTAAATCGTCTGGGGGGGTTCGACGTGTATGTTTCGTCCAGCTGCACACGTATGTTATAACGCCCATAATAATTGATGGTTTTGCTGTAGATTGTTAGATTTTTCACTGGCCTGTTGTCAGGAGGACTGTATTTAATGACACACGCGTTTAAGAGCGCTAAGTCGTCGTTACATATGCCTGTCTTGCAGCAACGTTCCTGTGGCTATTGC